ACTCCTTTCCTGATTTTGAACTGTGCAGTGTTTCCTTACTCTGTTCTACGGACTGCTTCCTAATCTGAGTATAAGTTTCACACGAGCACAATGAAGTGCTCTAGGATTCTCACTCTTCTCAAGGTTAGCCACAATTTGTTATGATCTACACAGTCAAAAGCCTTTTCGTAGTGAATGAAACACAGAGAGACATTCTTCTGGTACTCTGCTTTTGGCCAAGATCCATCTGACATAGGTGATAATGTTTCTAGTACCACAGCTTCTTCTAAACCCAGCTTGTAACAATTTCTGGTAGTTTTCTGTCCGTGTACTATTCCAGTCGTTTTTTAATAATCTTTAGCAGGATTTTACTTGAGTGTGATATTAGTGTTATTGTTCTCATTTATTCAGTGCAAACAGTTAAAACAAACCATAAACAGCTGCTTTACACAGGGACTTCACCCGATGGACTACACAGGAATCTGATTGACTACATCTGTGGAAAGAATCTTTGAAGAAACTCAATGTTGTTGTTGTTGTTATGTGCCATCGAATCAACTGCAACACTTAATGACCCTATGAACAATAGCTCTGAAGCTTGCCCTATCCTGAGCCAATGTCACTGTCCCAAACACACCTACTCCCATTGACCCAACTATTGTATAAATCCATCTCATTTGGGGTCTTCCTCTCCTGCACTGCCTTCCACCCTTCCAAGCATGATGTCCTTCTCCAAGGACTGGTCCCTTCTGACCACATGCCCAAGCTATATCAGATGGAGCTTCAAAATCCTTGCCTCTAAGGATTTTATTTTCACCCTCACCAGGACAGACTAGCTCTCTTGGCAGTCCATGGTACGTTCAATACTCTTCTCCAGCACTATAATTCAAAGACATTGATTCTTAATCTGTCATCCTTTGTCATTATCCAGCTCTCAGATGAATACCAAGTAATTGTAAAGACTATGGCCGGGATCGGTCACACCTTAGTCTCTAGACTGATATCATTGCTCTTCAGCACTCTGGAGATATTCCTAACAGCAGATTTTCCTAATGCAATTACTCTTTTGATTTCCTGACTGATGATGCCAAGAGTGTTGATTGTGGATCCAAGCAAGATGAAA